AATCACACCAAAATCTCATTTACAACATAATAAAGAGGCTTTGAACTTCATATAATTTACAAAACTACCATCGGTTTTCTTAGAACAAGCCCAACCTTAAAATCTTACAAAAAAACCAACACTCAAAACAAAAGGGTAAAACCGGAATTTAGTATATTAAGTAAACTCTAGAATGGGACAGCTGGCAATAATAGGGTTTTTTTTTTGTTTGTTTATATAATTTAAATGGTATAGTATTTATCTATAATGCTAGTGATAAAAATGGGTATATAACTAAATATCTCTTTTTTTTATTTTTATTATATTTATAAAATTATTTTTAGAAGGAATATGTTTGAGATCATTTCAATAAAAAAAGAAGCAATGAAAAAATTATTTAAAAACGAAATCATATTGTACAGTAACTATAATAAAAATTACTATTCTCAATCTTATTCCAATTTGTTTTTACTATTTTATCCCTTACTAATCAAGTTATTTTATTTTATAACCCTAATTAACGAAGAGCATTTCTTGGCATTTTGAATATTTTACGGTTTTTTCTATCTTTTGATTTATATATATATATAGATTAAACAATTTTTTAATGATAGCATGCATACTGGCCAGCCCATGTATTGCCAGTTGTAAGCGGAGAGGCAAGTTTACGCAAACTTTTATCAATAGAATAATAATTTACAAAAGTTATTTTGTTTTTCTGGATTAATTTCCAAAAGTTATTATAAGTGTTTTTTTTTTTTTTTGGGGTCAAAAGTTATTATAAGTGTTAATCGAAAAAAAAAAAAGGTTAGCGTACGTGCAACACTATGATTGGCTCCCTATTTTCGTTCAGCCGCTGTAAGAGAAAAAGCTTATTTTTGCGCCGAAGTTGCCAACTTGGGAAACCATTCTCTGACGCATACCGAAATAGTGGCCGTCCGATTGACTCCGTTAAGATCCAACGACTGGTATTGACTTATGACTGACCGCTGCAAGAATTTGACAGCAGCATCTTCGTCCTCCTTCCTATAAATTAAGCTCAGAGCTATCTCAGTCTCTTTCTCACATATACACGCAAGTTCTAGAACCTATTTTTTGCTGTGCATTGCTGGTGCTCTGTAAGTTCTTCTTATCCCTTCTTCAATGGTTTCAGAGATTTTTGGTTTCCTTTTTTGCTCTTTTTCATGGCGTAGTCTATGGTTTGTGTGCTTGGTGTTCTGCTAAATAGAAAAATTAAGCGGAAACGATTTTATTAAATTCTTCCAATACTGCATCTGGATGGAAATTCTTGGTTATCTGTTTGATTTGCTTTGATTGGGTTTGTTGCGTTTGTATTTGAAATCTTAATCGTTTGTATTCTCTGGGTCTGTTTTGAGTATGCTATGCATGAAGATTTCAATTTTGTGGTTCTTTGATATTGTTGAATCAGTGTACATTTTCGTTTTGTCTTGATTCTATCTCTTTCATTTCTGAGGTTTTCTGAGGTGTTAATCTCTTACATGCAATCGGTATAGCATTGGGGATTGTTATATCTATTTGTGTTGTGAATTATAAAATTTGACGTGGTTTCTGTGACTCCCAATATTTTGAGGGAAAATCTAGCAGTCTTTTCTTATTCTTGATTTTCATATTTTGTATTTTGTCCCTCGATTTTGAGAGAAATTCCACTTTGTTAATAACAGAAATTCACTATGCCATGATTTCCTGCCCTCATAAGTCCCTATTAGTCCTCTGCCATGATTATTACTCACTGAAATTCACTATACGTGTGTAATTACTCAATGGGTAAAATATGATTTATTCAAGAAGATTGTGTGGTAAGGTTTCTTTTTGTTTTCTTTTTTCCAAGGCTTTCTGTAAGGGATGAATATGGCTAACAGTGGTGGAGAAGGGAGTGGAAAGAATTCAGGATTTCCTCATGTTGTCCTCAATGAAAGAATCCTTTCTTCAATGTCACGGAGATCGGTTGCTGCTCATCCCTGGCATGACTTAGAGATTGGTACAATTTCTTTGGGCTTTTTGACTTTCATTCTCTCCTCTCTCCTCTCTTTTTGATTGGCTGAGCATTTCCTTTACCCTGAAAAATTAGGGACCCTAGGGCTTTATATATAGAGAGAACTTGGTTTTTCCTGTCACTGCACGGAGAGAGTGATGAGCATTATTATAAGTAGTGTTTTGTGCGTGCGTGCATGAGTGGTTGAGAGAAGCTTAGATTTTCTTGTGTGTGAGGCTGTTGTTAAAGAGTTCCATGCATGAGTTGAGAGAGAGACTCACATGTTTTTCATCTGTGCAGGACCTGGTGCGCCAGCAGTTTTCAACTCTGTAAGTTGTTATTTGTACTAGTATTTGTTGTTCCTTTTGATAAATTTCATCATTCATATTGGTCTCTTCATTTGGGAGATTATGTTGATAGTCTGTACATGAATGTGGTTGAGGAGATTTAAAACCATTTAGAATAAAGTTGTGTGATGCCTTGCATATCGTTGTGGTGGATGAGATCTAAACCTTTTAGAATAAGGTTTGTGTGATGCTTCTCTTAGTGGATGATGAATTTCATAATCGTCTTCAGTTATTTAAAGATAAAAAAGAATTATATATTCTATCTCAAGAGTCTGTAACAACAGTTATGTACTAATTCAAACGTGAATTTCTGTGGCAGGTTGTTGAAATTAGCAAAGGCAGCAAGGTTAAGTACGAGCTCGACAAGACAACTGGCCTCATTAAAGTGAGACTCTTCTTCTTCTTCTTCTTCTTTCCTAGATGACAAGCTGTTGCCTCTGTCATAAATATTGAACCGCGTTTATTCAATTACGGTTAGAGAATTTCAAACAAGTTCTATATCATTACCCTTGTTTGATTTACGTTATTATTGTCATGGTTGCTAAGGTATTGACATCTAATATGAAATTTATGCCTCTCATGGAGGACACTAATGCATAAGGATCTTTAATGTAGGTTGATCGTGTTCTTTACTCATCAGTTGTTTATCCACACAACTATGGTTTCATTCCCCGAACCATCTGTGAGGATAGTGATCCTATGGATGTACTGGTACTGATGCAGGTAAAGTTATTTCGACACATAATTCTTTCCACAATGAAATGAATCTGATTTTGGTGCATTTCGGTTGAACTTGTTAAATACAATCTTGGATTTTTCACCCATATAGGAGCCCGTCTTACCTGGTTCTTTTCTTCGTGCTCGTGCTATTGGATTAATGCCCATGATTGATCAAGTAAGTATTTATGTTTTTTCTGTCTCATGCTATCTTACTTGACTGGAATTAATGCCCATGATTGATCAAGTGTTTATGTTTTTTCTGTGTCATGCTATCTTATTTGACTGGAACATCTGCGCCACAATTATTGAACCTTTGGGAATAGATATTATTACTCTTCAGGGGAAGCTAGGGTTTTGATCTAGGACAATAAAAATGAAGCTTTTAATATAACAAAGGAAGGAAATTTGGTTTCATTTCACTGTGGTTTTTCACTAGCTTCCATCAAATTCACTCTCTCTCTCTCTTTTCCCTCATTGAGATCTGATTCCGTACATCCAGAAGAGGGTGTAGCTATCGATAACATGAGTTCTATTGCAGGGTGAAAAGGATGACAAAATTATTGCAGTATGTGCTGATGACCCTGAGTTCCGCCACACCAAGGACATCAAGGATCTTCCTCCCCATCGGCTTGCAGAAATTCGTCGATTCTTTGAGGACTGTATCCTATTATCTCATGCTTGCTATGTTTACTTTGGTTAGCAGTATTCAACCCCATTGTATTGAAACTGTTTGCACTCCCACTAATAAAAATCACCTGAAATCTATTTGCATGATTTCAACCATCCATTAAATTTGTGGCAGACAATATGTACTGGTTCTTAACTCAGTGTTATGATAGACAAGAAGAATGAGAATAAGGAAGTGGCTGTTGAAGACTTTCTACCTGCTGAGGCTGCCATCGATGCCATCAAATACTCCATGTGAGATAAAAATTTTAGTTCCTCTCTGTTCACAGCCACCTATGATAATTGCATAGGGAACTTAAATATTTCATTTCTACGCTTTTCTTAAAAGGATGCCTTGTGTTGTAGGGACCTGTATGCATCTTACATTGTGGAAAGCTTGAGGCAGTAACTAACCTGGTGGCTAATTAGTGAAATGGCTGAAACCATTTAGTAATGTAGTGAGGCTTATAGACTTCTTGCAGAATGCCTCTATATACAAGTTCTAATTCCTCAACTACCAAACCATTTCTCCGGATTTGAATGGAGATGTTATGCTGTACTTTTGATCATATCTCTTCCAAAGACTTGTATGTGTTGAATGCTGTTTGGAGTAGTTTCCAAGTATTGGCTTCCTCGGTAGCGAGGAGAATGTACTATCGAAATGGTACAAATAATTTCTTCCATTTTGGATGCAAATGATATTATGCTCAATGAATCTAGATTGGGATTGCATAACTCAAATAACCTTTATGGGCACTGTTCTCAGATACATTTTAAGTTTTCTAATTGAAATAGGTGAAATTATTGAACCTTCTTGACTTGTTATGTCCTACATAGAATTCCATTCCACTTCACTCGTTAAGTTTCAAACCTTAAATTATTAAGGATTTATAAAATAAATAAAAAATACAAAAATGCTTCATTGACTGGGGACTTCTTTTTTACCCCAAACAAACAAACAAGGGTCATCTTCAAAATATCTCTACTTCAGCGTCGTAAATGAAAACAGGGACACACCTAATTAAACAAAAGAAAAAGAAAATATATGAAATTAAGCAAATAAATTATTTATCTCGTTTTTGAGTGAAAGTATCACCAGCTGACGTAGTGATACAGTACCACTCTATAATTTCTCCAAGATTATGCCCCAAATCACCTGTTCCCTGCATTTGTCACCTGCAATAAATGAGTGACACGTGGTGTAAAGAGAGAGAATCACATTAAGAAACTGTAGGCAGAGCCGTAGACAATAACAATGACCAAAACAAGGAGTGAGGTGAACCAGGTGAGGTACTAAACGGCGCGCTTTGGTTCGGTGCCATTCTTTCCTTTCTTTGGATAGTGAGTGAGCGCGAGTCGAGCTACCTCCTTCGTTGGCCAACATTTCCATTCCATTTGTCAGCAGCAACAGCGAGCGCTCTCGTCCTAATCGATGCTTTTGCTTCAACGCCCACAGCTCAGAGCCTGAGACCGAGCCCAAACACACGCCTCCACCTACATCTCAGCCCCCTAAACCCTCGCACTCCTCACAAAATCTCCAATCTCTGACGAAGATGGGGACCCTGGGCAGAGCAATCTACACCGTTGGATTCTGGATCCGCGAGACCGGCCAGGCCATTGATCGCCTCGGTTCCCGACTCCAGGGCAACTACTACTTCCAAGAGCAACGTACGCCTCCCAATCCTTCTCCTTGAACTCAATTCCTCCAAACCCTAACCTGCACTGTCACTCACAAATGCCCACGAAAATGCACAATCTTGATTCTGTTGCTTTTGTTTATCGAATCGAATTTTGAGATCTACGAGGGGTTGGGTTTTGCGTGATTTTTTTTTTGGTGTGATTGCTTGTTCAGTGTCTCGGCATCGGACGCTGATGAACGTGTTTGACAAAGCTCCGGTGGTTGATAAGGACGCGTTTGTGGCGCCCAGTGCGTCCATCGTAGGCCAAGTTCAGGTGGGACGAGGTTCCTCCATTTGGTACGGTTGTGTTTTGAGAGGTAAAACCATTTCTATGAATTTGATCATTTACTTTATATTATTATTGTTATCATTTTCTTTTAGAAAATTTTACTCCTTGAAAAGCAGGCCAAGTTTGATGTTAGAATCTAATTATGAAAAAAAAAGTAGGCCAATTTGGTGTTATGATTAAAACATAATCATGTATTTGTTGTATTTCTCTGATTGTGGTTCCTGGTGTGAAGGTGATGTTAACAGCATCAGCATTGGGTCTGGGACCAACATACAAGATAATTCCCTTGTTCATGTAGCAAAGTCTAACTTGAGTGGCAAGGTTTTGCCCACTGTAATTGGAGATAATGTCACTGTAGGTGGGTTACATTTTGTGTCGTGTTTCCGAAAAATTTAGCATTGCCCTTATGCTGATTAGGGTTTATGTTAAGGGTCTAACTTCCGTGTTATGATTTTCAATTTGAACTATACAGGTCACAGTGCTGTCTTGCATGGATGTACTGTAGAGGATGAGGCATTTGTTGGCATGGCGGCAACCTTGCTTGATGGGGTTTATGTTGAGAAACATGCCATGGTTGCTGCTGGAGCCCTTGTAAGGCAGAACACAAGGATTCCCTGTGGAGAGGTTTGTCAAAGCTCCTTTTTTTTACCTGGAATTTGACTAGTCAATCGAGTTAGACTGTTAGTACAAAGTTCGCATAGGAAGCATCCAAGTGACTCAGTGAGCTAACATCTTTTAAATGAATGCAGCCTTTTTTTGCTTTTTGGTTTATCCTACATTCACGACAGACTAGAGAATTTTAAAGGTGATTTGTTACTGATTGTTAAATAACAGGTATGGGGAGGGAATCCAGCAAAGTTCCTGAGGAAGCTGACAGAAGAAGAGATGGCCTTCATCTCCCAGTCAGCCATAAATTATTCCAACTTGGCTCAGGCTCATGCAGCTGAAAATGCAAAGAGCCTTGATGAGGTAGAGTTTGAGAAGGTGCTGCGAAAGAAGTTTGCACGCCGTGATGAGGAATATGACTCTATGTTGGGTGTTGTTCGTGAAACACCAGCGGAGATTACTCTTCCTGACAACGTACCGCCAGGCAAAGTACCGAAGGCTGCTTAAAAGTGTCTATGAATGATGCGTTGGTAAATGAATGGTACTCTTGGGATTTAGTGTAAGTGAGTATTTTGTTTATGTGCGGATTTAAGGCAAATGGCTGCTTTACATTTCCAATAATTTTGGGGGCCATATGAAGTGTGAAGCTCAAACATGGAGTACATCTCTGGCTGGCATATGGCTCTACTTGATTTTCTGATTGATCAGCAACTTCATTTTCTATTTTCGAGGAGGAAAAACAAAAACTGCTAAAATAGAACATATTTTTAGATGTTTTCAAAGCATCCTGGAAGGTCTCTTAGATTTGTAGTTTTAGGGCTTTATTGCTTTGCATATGTTTTATGAAATAAAGAAACTGAAATCAGGCATCGAAGCCTGTAATACTTTTGGTGTAGCTTTGATTAATTATACTTTTGTTCTCAACCATTGAAACGAACAGAGGCTTAGGCGAAACGACCATCTCTCCCATACTTTTTGGTTCCCTCCCCTTTATTTGTATCTGCCTGGCCCGGCCGGAAGGAAGTGGCCTTCGGAAGTTCGGAAAAAGAGCACATGATGTTTTTAACTGAGTCTAAGCTGAATACCAAACTATTACACTAGTGAGTCATTTGCACTAACTTAGATTATTTTAGTAAATACCACGAGGTGTTCCCATACCCGAAGGGTGGAATTAATCCCCGCTCGGGGTTCGGTTTGATCCTGACCACAAAGTGCTTTCAACGGGTTTTTGAACTCCTGCCAATTAGGCATCAGATAACTCGCCAGTTGGAGGTATCAAATTATTAATCATATAATACATCATTGAAAACATGTCGAACTGTGATTTGTCTGTAAAAAAGCGGGTTTTCTGCTAAGAACTCGAAGGTTTGCGCTGCAATAAAAGGTGAACTGCAGATCTCCAATATTCAGCCCAAACTGACTGCATTCCTACAGCCCAACAGAGCCTGCTATAGTGTACTCAATTCTGTGGACTGAGCTTGAGAGAGCTATAATTTTTTATTCTCTCGGACTCGGGAGAGCCATAATTAATAACGTAGTGGATGATTATGATCATCGTTAAGTTAATAATGACCTTTCTAAGCAATAAAGAAAAAGTTGAAGCTTGGGTGGCTTCTCTTCTCAAAACTTGAAAGTTAAAGTTGTCTAGGTACCTAATAATGAGTACTAACTAGCATCATCTCAAATTTTTAATTGAATTACTTCTCCAATCCAAATATATAATCAGTTGACAAGTGAACCCAAAAGTGATCATAAATTTCAAATTCATGTGGTTAAAAGTGTCTGTCTTGATCCCACGCAATGCTCGCTTTGCTTTAGCCCTTTTTGGAACTCTTGGTAGTTGGTAGATAGTGCTCATTGGTACATTGGAATTTGCTTCATAATTGTCCCATTCACAACTATTTGAAATAATCATTCACAACTATTTGCTCATTCTTTGATAACACGTCATGGGTTCAAAATTTCCAATTTTCATCTTCAACATATTTTCAGTTATTTCGTACTGAGTCAGGATGCACTTGTCTGTCTCTCCACGTACATAATGGGCTTGTGCGTGAGGAAGGACGTTAACTTGATCTACGTTGTTGATCCATTCTCTAATAACTTCACAAGCCATCCTGCACTTTATTTGTTCTTTCAAATAAGTTGGGCGGCATTCTTCACTTCATTCTTCTTCCCCAAAACATACGACATTTTAAATTTATGTGCCACCCCACTAAGCAATTATGCCCACCACGTCTTACAGAATTCAACTTTGTAGAGAGCACCAAGCCCTGTATTTGCGCTCTTGCCCTCATGGGACAATTCCTCCCTCTACAAGATATTGGATAGTATAATGACTGTATTCATTATTATTATATTTTCTGCATCATTAAACAAACAAAGAAATCCATTTTTCAATCTCCAGAATGATGACTTTTGATGCTTTTGGCTGAATGCCACTGTCATAAAGTGGCAAACACAAGGGCCCAGAAAGACCCCCCCCCCTTCTTTTCTGGTATTGGTATTTGGCATTTGGCATGAGGCTTCTGGGAGAGCCAACCCTTTGGGGTTTTTTATAATTCAAAATTTCAAACCTTTGAAGAAGAAAAAGAAATTTGTGTCAGAAGTACCCCATGTAAACTGTTCAAACTTCAACACACATTGTATTTTGTTTGAAAAAAGAAAAAAGAATGAGGCAAACCCACATTTTCTTTGAATCTTTGAATCAGAAAAAGAAATTCACTTTATCTGTAAACAAAAACAGAAGGAGAAGAAGAAGAAGCCCTCTCTGTGCTTTTTATATATATTGGACTGGTTGACAGGCTATACGGGGACAAGTGCCAAAGTTAATATAAAGAAGAAGATACTATCCATGTTTAGCTGCATTACTTAATTACATTCGGATTCCCAGAACCTTGTTTTAATCCTTTTTATCATTATCTTATCCTGCTTTCAGACAGAGACAGAGGTGTGCTGTTTCTTTACCTTCTTTGGAATATGCAAATCCTGGACAGGTCTTCAAAACAAGAAACTGGTTTTCTTTAGTCAGGTGTATGTGTTTAAAAAATCAGATAAATTATTGCTGCCCAACAAGCTTTGTAGGGAAGGCTTGCTTCCGACAGTGGTTATTCGCGTGAATAACTATCAACCATTGATGTGCATAACTTGTTGGTCGACAGTCATCCATGATGCACATTTAGACAATTGGTACATATAATTTATCTCTTTCAACATTTCATATGGCGATCACATAATCAACTAGTGTAAGAAGAACGTTGTATATACTCATTGTGCATAACTGATTAATGTTAAAATTTTATAATGTATCATTTGGTAAACAAAACTCAATAAATAAATTTAGTGATGGTAGAAGCACTTAAATTTATGTGTGAGCAGTTGTGCTTAATAATAATTTTTTTTGGGTGATAATAATTGACCCCAAGGTCAAGTTAAATGGAAGATGGTGCAACCAATTTGAATGATTGGCTTTGGCCCCATGGAAACAGAGCCATGACTAATCTCAATTGCCTCACTCTGGTAACAGTTAAGCTTATAATGAATGCTATGAATCAAATGTCTGCATCAAAATCTTCAAATCTTCAAATTGTGATGCTATCAAAGAAAAGCATACATGCCATACATATATTATCCACATTAAATTGCTCCAACAACCACTCTTTGAGCACCCCTATGGGAGTTTCTGCATTTTTAATATTGACACCTAATTTTTGCTTGCAGATTGCAAGGTGTGAACAAACTTTTATAATTTATTCCTGGATGATTGAATTTATAAAGTAATGGGTTAGGTAGTATTTAATATATGAGAAGAAAAATGGTTTCAATGCTTGCAATTAGTATTAGGATTGTACATGAGGTATTTCCAAAGTTGATGATGATTTTCTGTCCAATGGGGTTTTTCATATTCTTCATTAGGATTTCACACGATCATTAGGTGATGTAAATTCATGTCAATCAACAATTGTTAGTCACCGTAACGGTCGTGGGAATTCTTTTATCATTCGAATACGACTATTGTTGTAATTGAAAAGTTTTACTAAATGTATTGTTGATAAGGTTAGAATCCAAAACAATGAGCGACGCACGTAGACGAGTGACAATGATATTCTCCTACAAACAAAATATGACAAACCACCTTTCACCAAATAAAAATCAAATGATGTCATTTAATACCTTAAAATTCATTCACCACTTGAAACCACAACCTCTACCATTCCTCAAGAGGCAATCCAACAGTCTCAAGACTCACGACCACCATCCCAAAAATTAGACAACAACTTATTAGCTACTTGGTTGGTAATTGCCAATGCTGCCCAGTAAAGTTTCTCATCTTTACAAACTCACCCCCCACAAATGGTCAAATACTACCAAACATAGACCCTTGTCACTATTCTCTGTACAAAGTCCTTCCCAAAGCGGTTATGTGGGAACCAGGTTTGGGACAGTTTCGGTTGGACACTTGGGACACATGGGTATTTAAAAAGATTCCATTTCCAACCCATATTTCCAATTGCCCTTTTCCCCATTTCATTATTTGTCCACCGGTTACTGGCTAAACCTGTTATTTTCTGAAATTCGAAAAAGAAAATTGCAAAATTCGAAAAAGGAAAAAGAAAAAACGGAAAATTCATCATGCAATTATACGAGTCCTTTTTCGTCATTTCGCATTTTCCTTTTAGTTTCCACTTTCGTCGTCCTCTTTCTGTGTTCTGAGTCCTGAGACGCTGCAGCAGAGGGACTCAGCAACAGCAGAGAGAAAGAGAAAGAGAAAGAGAAGAGAAAGAGAAAGAGAGAAAACTGAGCGGAGAAACACGAAACGCTTCGAAACGCAAACCCTAGGAGCGCTAATTTTGTTCATTTCTCTCTCATGGAGAATCTCTCGCATTCTCGGCATCCAAACAGGTCTTCCTCGGCGAAAATGATCAACAATGGCGGCTTCTTAGGGAAGACGCTGTACGACGACGTATACGGTGGTCCGCCGAAGTTCGGCCTCTCGTCTCTCTCGCCTCGTATGGAGGACTACAGCGAGATTTTTGGGAGCTTCCACGCGTCACGCGCCTCGTCGATTCCGGTGCTCGATGTTCCCGCCGTCGACCAACACGAGGTCTTCTTCGATGTACGGAGCTCCGGTTTCGACTACGGAGAGGTCTTCGGGGGCTTTAACGGTCTGGATTTCGCGGTCGCCTACGACGACCTGGTTAACCAATCTAAGGGTGGAGATGGTGACTGTGATTCCTCTGATGAAGCTTGGTATGTATGATCATGCATGCATTTATTTGCTTAAATTTGTTAGCATTTGGTGCTTTCATTTGTGAAATTGTAAGTCAAATGTGTGCAAAATGTGTCTATAAAGCAATTTTTTTTTTTACTGAAATGTGTTTAAGAAGTATTTGGTTTTAGTATATATGTTGGGTTTTTTAATAGCTATTTTGTGGAACAATGTCTACGGTTTTCACCATTTTGGTGAACATCTATGTGTTTCTACGTTTGTGGGTTTTAAGTAGGGACTCGAAACTGGGGGACCAAAACAAAGTCTTGGGGATTAAGGTATTTGGGCTAATTTTGACGGGACAATTAATAACCAGTGAAACTTTGATCTGGGGTTTTTGGGTTCTCTGAGTAAGGAAATAGTGTCCTAGGGGAAATTGGATTGAAGTAATTTTGACTTCTTTGATTGTAAAAAGTCGAGATAGTGTGTGTAAACTGGGCTTCAAGATTAACTTTTTTCTGTTAGGATCTCGGGGTTGTTTTGGTTCAAGGTTGCAACTGCACCACATATACAACATATGTACTAAAATATCTAATGAGTTTAAGAAACATAAATGTTTTGTGTATCTTTGTAATACTAAATGAGATAAAAATAAAAAAAAAGCTGTTTGACTTA